ACGGTCCATTCCTATCTCGAAATACGTTTTTCTAAACAAAATTAAAATCGACTAAAACAGAACATCTCTCCTTGTACCTAGTGCATGGTATTTCATCTGTCGTTATATTTTATAATATGTTTAACTGTTTGAGACTCTTCCAATTCATTGACCTGTTATCAATTAGGATCATGGGATTGAGACCAAAATCTTCACGACCATAATTAAAGATAAGTTAGGTAAGCCAGCTGGTAAAGGCCGTTGAGTCTTCAGTGGTCTGGGGACAAGTAAGATGATTACATGAATCTTAATTTTTTTTAAATGGAAACATCGCTTTTAAATGTTGGTTAAATGTTGGCAATAATATAAATAAATATTTACGAAATGAACTTACATGAAAATAGTTTTATAACCATTAAGCTAGTTAAGTAAAGGAGAAATACATTTTTATAGGTTTTATTATCTGTGGATTTTACAATGATTCACAGTTTGTTTATCATCAACCATTCAGGGTGAGTCGGTAGTGACAGTATGTATTGGTTTTATATTTGTTTGCTCTCAAAGCTCTTCTGTTGGTTTTGTACGTATCAGCTTGTGATTATTGTGAGAAGTACTTTACAATTATTTGAATGAGGTAAAATGAGATTAGTTTCAGTAAGATATTAAAGGAAAGCTTGAACAATGTCAGAAGCCAGTGAAGGTAGATTATGAGAAGTATCATGTGACAGGATTAATACCCAGAAAAATAAAGAATGTCATAAAAATCGTGAGATATTACCTGATATCTGTAATTTCAATAGTGTTGAAGTCAGTTAGATGATGCCATTTTGATGATTTCAGCTTCCTCAATTGTTTAGTTATCACAACTTTACACCAAATGGGTTACTGTGAGTCACTAGGTCATATGATGTTTTCATGTACATTTAGGGATATATTTCTGGAAAAACATTGGAGAAGTGTTTTGGGACGCTCTGTTTGTGATTATTTCTTGAAGCTCAAGGAAAGGTAAATGAATTTATGTGTAAATTGTTGTTTGTGCTTGTTTGGTTGAGAAGTTTTAAGGTACTTTCATGAACGGTTTTCATGTTATATTTGTCTGACAAAATGCTCCTAAACAAATTAAATATCATCTTTTATGTTCAGGCTACTTCTCCAGAAGACATTCCTCCTGTAATTGCAACAGGATTCAGTTATCTCATCAGTATATTTCGCCATGATCTCTTCTTTGTTTCTGTTGTTGAAAATGAAGGTTTGTGTTTATATTAAGGTTAGTTAATGTTTTATTAATGTTTATTTTGAATCAATTGCCTCTAATCCAATCAAGAGATTGATTGCTAGTTTTAATTTAAAAGTATGCATTACATTGCAAAGAAGTGTTATCACTCAATAAAGGCATTGCATTAGGCATTCTTAGTGGTAGATAAAAATAATTTAGCCTTCATATCATCAACATGTGGTGAACACTTTCATGATTATTATTATTGATGAATTGAAAACATTCCTTTCCAGTTCCACCTTTGTTTGTGATTGAATTTCTTCATCGAGTGGTTGACTTGATCAAAGAATATTTCTCTGACTGTACTGAAACAATCATTAAAGAAAATTGTGTCATTGTATATGAGGTTTGAGATTAGTATATTTTGTAGAGAATCTAGCTGTTTGATAGATGAATTTCAATTTTTTCTGTTGTGTGTAATGTAAAATATGATATTATATCTTTATATTCTTCAGTTATTGGAAGAGATGTTGGATAATGGATTCCCTCTTGCTACAGAGTCAAATGTCCTTAAAGAGTTGATAAGACCTCCTAGTATAGTTAGAAATGTTGTTAATAAAGTGACTGGAGATAGCAAGTAAGAACCTTCCTTATAGTAAACATATGAGCCATGTTTTATGTAGTGATCTATATGTTGTTCATATAAGGATCAGATATAAATATAAAGCAAATCTAAAACCACTAAACATTTCTATATTTGCATTGTTATTTATATGCAACTTACTACAATATTTAGTTAAATTTGTTTTAGTTTACACATTTATGATCATTCTACATATAATTTAAGTTAAATATTTCATATTTTCCTAGTATGAGCAGTCATCTCCCAACTGGTCAATTGTCCAATGTTCCATGGAGGAGAACTGGTGTAAAATATGCAAATAATGAGGTATGTAGCTATATTCACATTGTTCCATTAAGAAATTTGAAAGAAAATCCTTTTTTATTCTTTGTTTTAGTTGTAATGTGATGAGTGAACTTTTTTCTTTTGTTAATTAGTTGTAATAAATATTGCTAATTAGTTGTTGGTTCTAATTACTCATAATTTATTCCAATTAATTCTAATTATCACAAATTAGTCCTAAGTATTTCTAATTCATTCTATTTATGTTATAGATTTATTTTGATGTAGCTGAAAGCATTGATGCCATCATTGATAAACAGGTAACAACATTATAATACTGTGGATTTCTTGTTCCCTTTGTGGAAGATGTATGACAAAAATATGTTTGTTGTTTTTGTTTGATGTTAAATTAAAACTAAGGACATGTACGAACTGAAAACTTATGGCATGTTTAAATTTCTAAAATTTTCTGTTTTGTGTAGGGATCCACCATATTTTCAGAAATACAAGGAACTGTAAGTGCCTTCCTTTTTTTATACTTTGTTATATGTACTCTCTAGTACAACATTTTAAAGATTTTTTTACCTTTTTTCAACTTTGTTCTTTCAGATTGACTGCAACTGTAAATTATCTGGCATGCCTGGTATATTTATGATACTTTGTTATATCTCTAGATTAAAATTGAATTTATCTGTAGATTAAAGATTTGTATTAATTATAGAGCTCAACATGTGTTTTACAAATCCTCGTATGCTTGAAGATGTCAGTTTTCATCCTTGTCTTCGCTTCAGAAGATGGGAGGTACGTAAGTGTGAATGTTGAATATGGATTGTCTCTGATCAAAGTCAACACAAATTATTCTTAATAGGACTAATAACAATTGTCTTTTTACATTGAACACTTTTCTTTTAATCTTGCACTAAAACCGCGTTCAAATGTCGGTGTATTTTAGTCTGAACGAATTTTGTCATTCGTCCCCCCGGATGGTCGTTTTCGTTTAATATCATATAACGTGGCAACCGGGTGGGTGTTTTAGCTGTTTTATTTTCATGATGAAATTGTCTATTTTGATGGTATTTTTTGTTTTTTGTTTAGAGTAAATATGCTACCATTGTTTGCAAAGCCTCGTGTCTCGTTTCAAGAGGTTTATCAACTGCTGAAATTATTTTAAATTATTTTTTATTGATTGAAATAAATTAAAGTGTTTGATTTTTCTGCGTTTTAATTCGTACGACTGTTCAAAACATTGATTCGATGATCGTCTTTTACTTGGTTGTTTTAGGGTAGAAGTGGAAGATTTGAATTGTCGATAAGTTCAAAACCAGTTATGGGTAAAATGTATGTATTTATAATCATGTCAATTTATTAAAATGCTGTTGCATCTTCTTGCATTTATAAACTTAAAGATATAACCTAAACTAGTCCATTTTTTTCATACGTATTATCTCAAAGCATTTTGTATAAAACTAACTACATCGTCCTAACGTAATCATACCAAGTCAAATATTGTATACATTAACTTTTTCAAAGTCTTTTCACTCATTGTTTCCATATTTTATTTAGATCGAGAATGTTGTCGTGACTGTTCTATTTCCTAAACAAGTTCTCAACCTTAACTTGACTACAAACGGTAAAAACACTCATAAAATATTAAACATTACAGTCTGATGTTTCATTGCTCTTCATTGACGTTTTCCATCAACATTTATGACTTGTGTTCCATGTTTTCAGTTGGTACCTATTCAATTGATCCTATCAAAAAAGAGCTTTCATGGGAGGTAGGTTCATGAGGAAATTGTCACGATCACGTGGTTATGTAAATCTAACGTTACGTTAAACAATTTTAGATCGGTAAAATACAATCTCAGACATCGTCACCTAACATCAAAGGAAATGTAAGTAAAACTTGTTTTTATTTTGCTTTTTGCTCGTCTCCGTTGATTTACAGACGTCTTGCCATGTTTTTCAAGAAAATATTTTCAATTTTTTTGCATGCAAAGCAAGATCTTCCTTCACAACATTTTTTGCTCACGAAGTAGAGTAAGGTCGATCTTGCCAGTAACCATTCCTTGGTCACAAAGTAAGGTCGATCTTGCCAGTAATCATTCCTTGGTCACAAAGTAAGGTCGATCTTCCCAGTAACCATTCCTTGGTCACAAAGTAAGGTCGATCTTCCCAGTAACCATTCCGTGGTCACAAAGTAAGGTCGATCTTCCCAGTAACCATTCCTTGGTCACAAAGTAAGGTCGATCTTCACAGGTCGCTATCACTGTAGTTATATTCTTAAATTGTATTCTCTTTTCTGATAATTGGTACTATCCCTCTTCCACTTTGGTATTCACCTTTAAAGATCTGATTTCCTACCATAGTTAAACAACGTGGTGATGTGAGAATCGCTCTGATCTTTTTATGAAACTGCTCTCGTTTCATTTCGTCTTATGTTACTTGTCGTCAAATTCTTGCTGTATGTTGGTTTTCTGTAGTTTACTGCTTCTTATCATAATCTTTGTTTATTTTTCTTGTTTTTTTTTTATGAAAAGAATTAATGTATATCTCCATAATCTTTTAATATCTTTCCTTTTGTCTAATTTCCAATGTTTATATTTCAGATATCTTTAAAAAGCGATGTTCCACCTTCGTAAGAAACACCAACTTAATTCGTAAGTGTTTTTTTACTGAGTAACGTATATAAAACCAGTTATAATTGGATGATATACTAAAATAATTCCCAAACTAAACGTTCTATGATACAAAGTTAACATAACTTCCTTCAGACATGACATATTTATCAATACTCCTTAATCATAAACATGCAACAGCCTGCAACACTACCATCATAAATTTGTAGAAACCTATCTCCCTTTCGCGTTCTTTCATCGGCAGCATTCTTTTCTTTAGTTAAATTTCAAAATATATTCATTTGCCGCTTTGGGATTGAAAGTCGGTAGACTGTATGTACATGGGGAGGTAGGGACAATTTGCATGGTTTGTTGCGTATGTAGGGGTACACTTTGCATGGTTTGATGTGTATTTAGGGGTACACTTTGCATGGTTTGTTGTGTATGTAGGAGTACACTTTGCATGGTTTGTTGTTTATGTAGGGGTACACTTTGTATTGTTTGATGTGTATGTAGGGGTACACTTTGCATGGTTTGATGTGTATGTAGGGGTACACTTTGCATGGTTTGTTGTTTAAATTGATGTTCATTTTAATCTTGAACAGATGACTTGAGTGCAACTAATGTTATATGGTTTCTGATTAATTTAGAACTACAAGCTACGAAAGGAGTCAAAGACACAACAGCTTGACGGTATAAGATAAGAACATAAAATTTTGTTGAATAAAAGCACAGCACAACATTTACACATGGTTAACAATTCGCGAATCTCCTTCCTAATCCTTCAACAAAACAAATTTTGATTAGCTTTCAAAAATATAATTCAAGTTGTTGTGTTTTTTTCAAAATGTATGCATGTTTGACAAAAAAAAATATATCGTCTACTGGGATTGCAGTGGCAATTGAACTTTACCATGGAAGAAAAAAGCAAAGTTGTGAATGCAATCTTCAACGATGTTAAACGATAAAATTGTGTCAATGCAGCAATACTGTACAGGCCAAAAAATTATGTTATATTGCAACACGTTATATTTAGAGAAAATTTTCAGTTGCAGCAACTGTGCAGTCACTGTGAGTGCAGTGTGCAATGTTAGAAAAGGGAACCGTTCTAAATGTGGAAGGGAGGAAATATCTGACTTGTTAAAGTTATTAGTAGTTTTTAGTACCAAATGGGAATCAAGCTTTAGAGAATTTGTTTCCACTAGCTGAAAATTTTGTACATTTTGCCAAAAAATTTAGCATGGTTTGTTATTCAATATTGCTTAGGTTCTTGTTATTTTCTAGTGTTACATGGCTGCTTGAAGCATATGGAGTTGCTGGTCCGAACAAGAAGTTGGCATTCCACTATTCAACGTGGCTTCAATTCTTTCCGTTTTCTGGTGTTACTTGGGTACTTAGAGCGTATGGATTTCCTAAACGTATGTAAAGCTTTGATTCTCGTTTATGATACATAGCGTTCCCAAGTCGCAATTGGGTATTGTTTCTAAGTTTGTAAGAGATTTTTCGATCAAAATTTTATTTGTTGTTAACATTTCTAATTATGTTCTTCCTGAAAATGAATTTCTGTCTGCGGAAACTGATCATTCAGCTTATCAACTTGCTGCTTCACCCACAAAAAATGCTAAACGATCATACGAGGCAGCTGCATGGCAGTTTTGAATATCATATGAATTTTAAAATGTTTTATTGAATGTTTAATTTCAGGGAATTTGATAGGTAGTCTTGACGGTCGTTATGGATTTACCTGCAAACATTGGCTCATAGATCCTGCCTATAGAGATTTTATCTCGTTTGAGAGGAAGAGAGTTTTAGAGAAAAGTCGCATTAAAAAGTAAGTTTTCCAGTTAAATCACAACATTAATTGTAGTTTTGAACATTTTTAGGAAAATTCAAAATACATCAGTGACACAATAAAATTGTAGTGAGCCTGTGGGAACATAAAATACTCGCGATTTGATATCATTTATATTGGTTTGTTAGTTTGATATGACAAAACAGAACATACGTGAGTGTCTACACTGTAGTGACAAAACAGAACATACGTGAGTGTCTACACTGTAGTGACAAAACAGAACATACGTGAGTGTCTACACTGTAGTGACAAAACAGAACATACGTGAGTGTCTACACTGTATTGACAAAACAGAACATACGTGAGTGTCTACACTGTAGTGACAAAACAGAACATACGTGAGTGTCTACACTGTAGTGACAAAACAGAACATACGTGAGTGTCTACACTGTAGTGACAAAACAGAACATACGTGAGTGTCTACACTGTAGTGACAAAAAGAACATACGTGAGTGTCTACACTGTAGTGACAAAACAGAACATACGTGAGTGTCTACACTGTAGTGACAAAACAGAACATACGTGAGTGTCTACACTGTAGTGACAAAACAGAACATACGTGAGTGTCTACACTGTAGTGACAAAACAGAACATACGTGAGTGTCTACACTGTAGTGACAAAACAGAACATACGTGAGTGTCTACACTGTAGTGACAAAACAGAACATACGTGAGTGTCTACACTGTAGTGACAAAACAGAACATACGTGAGTGTCTACACTGTAGTGACAAAACAGAACATACGTGAGTGTCTACACTGTAGTGACAAAACAGAACATACGTGAGTGTCTACACTGTAGTGACAAAACAGAACATACGTGAGTGTCTACACTGTGACAAAACAGAACATACGTGAGTGTCTACACTGTAGTGACAAAACAGAACATACGTGAGTGTCTACACTGTAGTGACAAAACAGAACATACGTGAGTGTCTACACTGTAGTGACAAAACAGAACATACGTGAGTGTCTACACTGTAGTGACAAAACAGAACATACGTGAGTGTCTACACTGTAGTGACAAAACAGAACATACGTGAGTGTCTACACTGTAGTGACAAAACAGAACATACGTGAGTGTCTACACTGTAGTGACAAAACAGAACATACGTGAGTGTCTACACTGTAGTGACAAAACAGAACATACGTGAGTGTCTACACTGTAGTGACAAAACAGAACATACGTGAGTGTCTACACTGTAGTGACAAAACAGAACATACGTGAGTGTCTACACTGTAGTGACAAAACAGAACATACGTGAGTGTCTACACTGTAGTGACAAAACAGAACATACGTGAGTGTCTACACTGTAGTGACAAAACAGAACATACGTGAGTGTCTACACTGTAGTGACAAAACAGAACATACGTGAGTGTCTACACTGTAGTGACAAAACAGAACATACGTGAGTGTCTACACTGTAGTGACAAAACAGAACATACGTGAGTGTCTACACTGTAGTGACAAAACAGAACATACGTGAGTGTCTACACTGTAGTGACAAAACAGAACATACGTGAGTGTCTACACTGTAGTGACAAAACAGAACATACGTGAGTGTCTACACTGTAGTGACAAAACAGAACATACGTGAGTGTCTACACTGTAGTGACAAAACAGAACATACGTGAGTGTCTACACTGTAGTGACAAAACAGAACATACGTGAGTGTCTACACTGTAGTGACAAAACAGAACATACGTGAGTGTCTACACTGTAGTGACAAAACAGAACATACGTGAGTGTCTACACTGTAGTGACAAAACAGAACATACGTGAGTGTCTACACTGTAGTGACAAAACAGAACATACGTGAGTGTCTACACTGTAGTGACAAAACAGAACATACGTGAGTGTCTACACTGTAGTGACAAAACAGAACATACGTGAGTGTCTACACTGTAGTGACAAAACAGAACATACGTGAGTGTCTACACTGTAGTGACAAAACAGAACATACGTGAGTGTCTACACTGTAGTGACAAAACAGAACATACGTGAGTGTCTACACTGTAGTGACAAAACAGAACATACGTGAGTGTCTACACTGTAGTGACAAAACAGAACATACGTGAGTGTCTACACTGTAGTGACAAAACAGAACATACGTGAGTGTCTACACTGTAGTGACAAAACAGAACATACGTGAGTGTCTACACTGTAGTGACAAAACAGAACATACGTGAGTGTCTACACTGTAGTGACAAAACAGAACATACGTGAGTGTCTACACTGTAGTGACAAAACAGAACATACGTGAGTGTCTACACTGTAGTGACAAAACAGAACATACGTGAGTGTCTACACTGTAGTGACAAAACAGAACATACGTGAGTGTCTACACTGTAGTGACAAAACAGAACATACGTGAGTGTCTACACTGTAGTGACAAAACAGAACATACGTGAGTGTCTACACTGTAGTGACAAAACAGAACATACGTGAGTGTCTACACTGTAGTGACAAAACAGAACATACGTGAGTGTCTACACTGTAGTGACAAAACAGAACATACGTGAGTGTCTACACTGTAGTGACAAAACAGAACATACGTGAGTGTCTACACTGTAGTGACAAAACAGAACATACGTGAGTGTCTACACTGTAGTGACAAAACAGAACATACGTGAGTGTCTACACTGTAGTGACAAAACAGAACATACGTGAGTGTCTACACTGTAGTGACAAAACAGAACATACGTGAGTGTCTACACTGTAGTGACAAAACAGAACATACGTGAGTGTCTACACTGTAGTGACAAAACAGAACATACGTGAGTGTCTACACTGTAGTGACAAAACAGAACATACGTGAGTGTCTACACTGTAGTGACAAAACAGAACATACGTGAGTGTCTACACTGTAGTGACAAAACAGAACATACGTGAGTGTCTACACTGTAGTGACAAAACAGAACATACGTGAGTGTCTACACTGTAGTGACAAAACAGAACATACGTGAGTGTCTACACTGTAGTGACAAAACAGAACATACGTGAGTGTCTACACTGTAGTGACAAAACAGAACATACGTGAGTGTCTACACTGTAGTGACAAAACAGAACATACGTGAGTGTCTACACTGTAGTGACAAAACAGAACATACGTGAGTGTCTACACTGTAGTGACAAAACAGAACATACGTGAGTGTCTACACTGTAGTGACAAAACAGAACATACGTGAGTGTCTACACTGTAGTGACAAAACAGAACATACGTGAGTGTCTACACTGTAGTGACAAAACAGAACATACGTGAGTGTCTACACTGTAGTGACAAAACAGAACATACGTGAGTGTCTACACTGTAGTGACAAAACAGAACATACGTGAGTGTCTACACTGTAGTGACAAAACAGAACATACGTGAGTGTCTACACTGTAGTGACAAAACAGAACATACGTGAGTGTCTACACTGTAGTGACAAAACAGAACATACGTGAGTGTCTACACTGTAGTGACAAAACAGAACATACGTGAGTGTCTACACTGTAGTGACAAAACAGAACATACGTGAGTGTCTACACTGTAGTGACAAAACAGAACATACGTGAGTGTCTACACTGTAGTGACAAAACAGAACATACGTGAGTGTCTACACTGTAGTGACAAAACAGAACATACGTGAGTGTCTACACTGTAGTGACAAAACAGAACATACGTGAGTGTCTACACTGTAGTGACAAAACAGAACATACGTGAGTGTCTACACTGTAGTGACAAAACAGAACATACGTGAGTGTCTACACTGTAGTGACAAAACAGAACATACGTGAGTGTCTACACTGTAGTGACAAAACAGAACATACGTGAGTGTCTACACTGTAGTGACAAAACAGAACATACGTGAGTGTCTACACTGTAGTGACAAAACAGAACATACGTGAGTGTCTACACTGTAGTGACAAAACAGAACATACGTGAGTGTCTACACTGTAGTGACAAAACAGAACATACGTGAGTGTCTACACTGTAGTGACAAAACAGAACATACGTGAGTGTCTACACTGTAGTGACAAAACAGAACATACGTGAGTGTCTACACTGTAGTGACAAAACAGAACATACGTGAGTGTCTACACTGTAGTGACAAAACAGAACATACGTGAGTGTCTACACTGTAGTGACAAAACAGAACATACGTGAGTGTCTACACTGTAGTGACAAAACAGAACATACGTGAGTGTCTACACTGTAGTGACAAAACAGAACATACGTGAGTGTCTACACTGTAGTGACAAAACAGAACATACGTGAGTGTCTACACTGTAGTGACAAAACAGAACATACGTGAGTGTCTACACTGTAGTGACAAAACAGAACATACGTGAGTGTCTACACTGTAGTGACAAAACAGAACATACGTGAGTGTCTACACTGTAGTGACAAAACAGAACATACGTGAGTGTCTACACTGTAGTGACAAAACAGAACATACGTGAGTGTCTACACTGTAGTGACAAAACAGAACATACGTGAGTGTCTACACTGTAGTGACAAAACAGAACATACGTGAGTGTCTACACTGTAGTGACAAAACAGAACATACGTGAGTGTCTACACTGTAGTGACAAAACAGAACATACGTGAGTGTCTACACTGTAGTGACAAAACAGAACATACGTGAGTGTCTACACTGTAGTGACAAAACAGAACATACGTGAGTGTCTACACTGTAGTGACAAAACAGAACATACGTGAGTGTCTACACTGTAGTGACAAAACAGAACATACGTGAGTGTCTACACTGTAGTGACAAAACAGAACATACGTGAGTGTCTACACTGTAGTGACAAAACAGAACATACGTGAGTGTCTACACTGTAGTGACAAAACAGAACATACGTGAGTGTCTACACTGTAGTGACAAAACAGAACATACGTGAGTTCTACACTGTAGTGACAAAACAGAACATACGTGAGTGTCTACACTGTAGTGACAAAACAGAACATACGTGAGTGTCTACACTGTAGTGACAAAACAGAACATACGTGAGTGTCTACACTGTAGTGACAAAACAGAACATACGTGAGTGTCTACACTGTAGTGACAAAACAGAACATACGTGAGTGTCTACACTGTAGTGACAAAACAGAACATACGTGAGTGTCTACACTGTAGTGACAAAGCACATGAAATATCAAAAAAACTGTAAAATTTTTGAAACGTTAAGAAAGCGTCATATTTTTTAGCAAGTTGCTATGCCACATTTGTGTAACTTTGATCAGTTGTTGCTATATATCGTATTTACAGTGGTTTTTAAGCAAGTAACTGTAAAAGATCCTATGTCACTATTCATTTCCTATAAAATACAGATACTAACCAGCTGCTATGTTTAAAATACTTAGCATGTATTTTTTCTTTTTCTAAATACCATTGTTAAAAAAAACTGTTAGATATGTTTGAATTTGATCAATGAAATGTATAGTCTGAAGAGGTTTTTTAATTGTCTTACCGTTGGTTAGTCTATTTCGTTTGATTTGTTACAATACTGTTCAAAATTTCTTTTTTATTAACTAAAAATGTCTAATAGAAAACGAAGTGCCTGTACATATCGTCTGTACATTTCATCACCTTGATGAATGGTGCAAAATTTAACACGAAGTCGTTCATATTTTGCTGGTTGTACATACCATAAAAATCTTTATATCGTACACACATAAGAATATAGAAGCTCTCTGCTTTGCTTGCAGCAATTATTTGTAAACGTTTTTTTTTATTGCAGCAAGAGTTGGAGTTTCTGGTTAACCTAATGTACCATTTGATAATAAAACTTTTATAAACTAAATAACAAATAGTAAAATTGATAGAAAAGTTTACAAAGTTAGTCAGAATTGCTGCAGTACATAACACACCTTCCTTGCTCTGCTAACAACAGTGAAATTATTGAAATAGCATAATATTTGAAAACATTTATTCGTTCTAACAATTAGGAATTGAGCACTCTAGCTACATGCAGTTAAAGTAACTAAAAAATACAGCGTCTTCAATATGTTGAGAGTATGTTATAACTTATAACGAACTAATGATTCTTACTGTTAAAATGTATAAGAAAATTTTATTTTCTGTTTTGTGTTCCTGCGTTCTAAACAAGGTTTGAAAACATCTCATATAAGATATATTAAGCTTCTTTGCATTGGGATTCTATTTTTTTCTATTCCGACAATAAGACTTCTAAATTATCCATATATTTATTCACACTACGCAGCGCGCTGAGATAATACTCAAAAAAAATATTTTTATCAGTGTGCTTCCTGCTGTGATCTTTTTAAATAGATAATATTGCAAAACAGGTATTCGACACAGTTTGATGGTTATAATCTGAGGCGTACAAAAACGACGACAATATCAAAGTTTGTCATCTTCTTAAACACTCAAAGCTCGTCAAAGTGATTGTAAGTTTTTCAGACTAAGTTGTATTGTATTATACACACTAGACTATTAAATGCTAGCTACACGTCAAGATATTACTGAGTTTAATATAAGTAAAATGTTTAATGAAATATTTCATCTTCTTTCTATATGTCGTAGTTGCCTTCAATCTTCGAACTATCTACATCATTAGCGGTGGAGATATTTACCGCCAAAAACGTAGCTAAATCAGAAAAAATGTGGAAGTGATAAACATACAGAGTAAAACGTTTCTATAGACTTTAAGGTTTTCGCTGATATTACCACCATTAATAAAGTCATGTGTCTATGGAAATCTTAGAACATGGTTATTTACAAGTTTAGATTATTAACGTTTGTGCTTGGGTCGGTCTCATTCATTTTTTCTCAGGTTAAAGCTAAAGGCGACAGTATAAATATATACTGGTGGGCGGAAGTTGACACGCAAGCAATTTTTTTCACGCTGATTGTACACTGCTCTTAAATTGGACCAAATATTTTGTATTGGTTGATTCAGAAGTTTGGTTTAGTGAACAGTAATTTACTTTGCATTTAGGCTAGAAATTAATATAATTCGTCAACAAATTAAAAGATGTTAAATCAAAGATGGTATATTTATCAAATTTTGAAGGTTCTGGAATAGTTTACATACAGAATAAGATAAATAAAGATAGGCAAATGTTTTAAGGAAATAAGTCGTTTTAAATGGTCATTGAAAGTTAAAACGCCTTTTTTGAGTATTGTATGTAGTGCATTAAATCAATTTTTACTAATATTTATGCAAATTTTAAGAGTAACCACAAATTTAGCGAAATTTCTGTGTGCAAAAGATTAGAAAGAATTGTATTGGCCAGTATATCTTTGATATTTGGCGCATGCGAATATATTTTAATGTTACAAGGAAGAATTTGCTTTTAACATCTAACTGATAATTGATAATAATAGTCAATAAAGTAAATGGTTTGAACCCGGGAGTATCGTAGCATGTTTGTAGATGTAGATCGTCCAGGTTATACTATTTACTAGTGTCTTTTGATGTAAAATAAACTGTTCACCAGTATTCCACTTAATCTGGCACTTACTTGTACAAAAACCCTTATTACAAACACCACGGACGTACTGCCATTACCGACAGAAGACATCATGGAGCTACTGGAGCTCTGCCTCACCTCGGCTTACTTCCAGTACAAAGGTACACACTACAAACAATTACATGGGACAGCAATGGGCTCACTCGTTTCTGTTGTAGTTGCTGAAATTGTAATGCAATCTGTAGAGGAACGGGCGCTCACGACTTACAAACATGCACTACCTTCTTGGTTCCGCTACGTATGCAAAAGATTAGAAAGAATTGTATTGGCCAGTACATCTTTGATATCTGGCGCATGCAAATATAATTTAATGTTACAAGGAAAAATTTGCTTTTAAGATCTAAGTAATAATTGATAATAGAAGTCAAATTCGACAGGTAAATTTCCCAAAATTAACTGGACAACAGAGTTGGAAAGTTCTACAAAGGCACGTAGAAGCAATATGGAACCAACAACTGAGAGCTCTGATGAATCTGTGCATTATTATAAGAAGAAATCAAACTCATACAGAAGTCAAGCAGAAGCTATGTCATTTTTTGAAGAAGGAAATTTTAGTATGAATAATGGTGATTATGGAACAGCAATTGAAAACTACAAAAGATGTTTGGAAAATGCCGACAAGAATAACGTCAAAATGATGGTTTATTTTGGTCTTGGTAACGCTTACACCCTCTGTGATAATTGGAAGGAAGGATTGAACAGTTTTAATCATTGCTTAAAGTTTTCGTCTAAAGTTGAAAGTGAATATTTTGAACATCAAGTATACCTTGGCCTGGGGAGTGTTCATTCTACCATTAAAAGATTGGAGGACGCTATGAAGAAAGATGAAATGGAATGTCTCTGCCATATTGCATTGGGAGGATTGAATAAGTTGCTTGAAAATTATGAGCAATCTTTGGATCATTATATAAAAGGATTCTCTCTTATTGAATCTCAACAGCAACAACATGAACAGCATCATCAACCACAACGACAAAGAAAAGTTGGTGGTATCAACGTTAGTAAAGATTTCGTCAACCTTAAAATGAAGAACTTGTCAATTGTTACTTCAGCTGGAATTGTCAGTGGAGTGTTGGCTATTTATTGGGAACTAGCAGAGTTGTTTGATAAAATTGAGCAATGTGGAGATGCAACATTTATATATGAAACATATCTGGAGATGGTCACAAAAGATGAAGATATAGAAAAACAAGCGAACGTCATGGAGCGTCTGGTGCAAATATACGAAGAAGAAGAGCGTTATTACTTAAGAAATTCGATGGAAGCCAAGTTACAAGAAATCATTAAGAAAAAGAATGAAAAAGGTAGAGAGTTTACACTAATGAGAAAGCTTTTTAGTAATGTGTTCCTTGATTGTTTCCATTTTACTTAACCTTAATTTTATACTTTCATCATTTTATGAATTGCTGTCATCAGAGTGGGAATACATTGGTGAATCTGTTAAACATAAAGAATTGTTCTTAAAATTGATCAAGTATGGACGAAATCCCAATGTCGAGGTCAAGCATGTAGACAATGTACGTGTGATAATCTCTGAGGAGTTTTGCATCGGTAGAGGAAGTGATGGAACCCGTGTTTATCTGGGACTGAAAAAGGATGGTTACGGCAGAGCAGTGAAACGAATACGTCGAGATAACTGCATCACGATTGCCCTGAAAGAAAAGGAAATCTTGAACGAATTCAACGCAAAGGAGTCGAAATATGTTATGAAATATTACTACTTAGAAGAGGACACTGGAACAGACTATGTCTATTTGATACTTGACCTATGTGAAGAATCGTTGGAGAGTTTTGTGGAATCTTCTACATTGCAGGATCTTCAAAAATCTCTTCCCGAAATTCTCAAACAAATGTTAAAAGGATTAGCTGATCTTCACTGCGATCCATGTCCTATTCTTCATCGGGATTTAAAGCCTTCCAATGTTCTCCGAGACGCACATGGTAAATTTCTGATAGCTGACTTTGGTATAAGTCGAAAATTGAAGGGTGACCTTAAGACATATTATACTAGCTCTAAAAGGGGAACTCAGGATTGGATTGCTCCCGAATCATATTGTAAAGATGAAGATTCAGTTGATAAAGCACGTTACAAAAAAGAGTCAGATGTAATGGTAGGTGTAGAAATGTATCCTTTAGTAAATGGCACATAAATTAAATTCTTGACAGTTTATTCACGCTATTCTGTTTGATCGATTTAGAATGCAGGAATGTTGGCTTATTATGTTGCAACAAAAGGGAAGCATCCTTTTGGAACTGAAGACTGTAGACTACAAAACTTGTTAGATGGAAATCATGTTGGCTTGGACGAAATAAAGGATGCTGCTTTCCTAGACCTTTTGTTATGGATGCTACAACTAAAACCAGAAGATAGGCCATCAGCCAACGAGGCGTTAAAACACCCTTATCTACTATCCGATGAAGAGAAGTTTAGTATGCTGTGTGATATGGGGAAGCAACCGGAAATGAAACAATCAAAAGGTCAAAGTTTTCCAAATTCAGATGTTGTTGCGCAATTGTATGCTCCCATGGAATGGATGACGCGTATTGATGATGAAATCTTGAAAGATTTCAAAACCTTTAACAAGAAAGGCAAAAAGAAAACTTTGACTTACAAGCCTACATGGGCAAGTTGTTTAAGATTCATTAGAAACGTGAATGAGCATTGGTACGATAAAACTCGAACACATCTGTTGCGTTATGTCAAGGAAGGCAACTATATAGATTATTTCTTGCAACGTTTTCCTGAATTGCCTCTTCTGGTGCACAAAATCATAAGGTCCACTGACTGGAAAACAAGACACAATCTTCAGCAACATTTTACAGCTTAGTCATACCAACAATTTTTTATGTTAAACGAAATAGCCAAATTAGGATTCCATGACACTATACAATGTCCCAATTTAGTTGTTATTTTCACTGAAAGGTTTTTTTCGTTTGATAATATTCAATATGCATGTTTTTAAGTACTCTATAAATGCTTTCCAAGATGAGAGCATTTTCTTTTTTATGTGATTTTTGATTCTAATGTATTGTCAGAGGCTCCAGCAAGAAGGAGGACTGCCAATAATACATTTCACATACTGAGGTTTCTGTAAACGTAACTTGAAAGTTTCAGTTGAATAAAACATTTCGTTATACATTGTATGTGACATTTTGGAGGTGTTACACTCCTCCCCCCCAAAAAAAATAAAATCCTGCCAGCACCACTATATGTTGTGTCTAATGGAGAGTCGAAAAGGTGAAACGTTTTTGCCTAAATTAATATTTTTTTGTACAAGTGTTTTTGTCTCTATCTCAAACCTCTTTAATCTCATATATTTGCATATATTGACTACCGTGATGTTCATTTTATGTAATATTTTGTAAACATTTAAATAAACGGCAACATTTTTCAATTTTGTAATTTTAATGACAGACAAGTTTCGACTTCACTACAAGCCAACTTAGTCGCAGATTTAAGATAGAAATATGATACAGCTGTGACATACATGAAACCACCAGAAATTTTCTAACATGGATCAAAGAATACACCACATCTGAAAAAACTCCACGTTGACAAACATTAACAAAATCTGAAAGCAAATCTAAATAGATCGTTCACTTCATCACGCTTCTCTAACACTGCTAAAACTTCATTCTCTTTCAAACTCAAACCAACCTTACACATACGTCAACACAAACCAGACGTGAACAAACAAGTCCAACATTTTAATAGTATTTTCCAACTTTAATTTTCTCCCTTTCCCTAACTACGCACATCCTTTATCTTTTCCCTAATTTCTAATAATTAGTAAATTATTTTCTCTAATGCGTGTGAGTATCAGCAGTGGCCGCGGAGAAGAAGGGCAATTAGCCCCTAATTTTTCAATATCTCTTGCTTTGTAAAGTGTAAAAGTATAAAAATCCGCCCCAGGAAAATACTTACATTTGATAAATAAGGATGTTTAACAGTATTTCATGTCTCACTTATGTTCCACCTTCATTTTGTAGTTGACGTTAGATTGATCAATTATAGCGAGTTCAGACTAATTGCCGGAGTACGATATCCTGGTTCTGGCAAAAATCTGCAGGTTGCTCACCCTACGTAGTCCCCACTAGCTTCGTCTATTTATAATTTCATTTTTTCAAATTTTAAAACCATGTGCTTAATGTATGCCTTTCTGTAAGCGTTACTAAGGTGTCGTCGTTCACATCAGTGCCCGTGCCGAGCACAGTACTTAGGTAATACCTCTTTCGTGGTTCCCAGACCTGGGCACTTATAGACAGGCACCATCAAAATTTTGTGTTCACATTGGTGCCTGTGCCTGAGCACTGTACTTGGTTAATACCTATTTTTGTAGTGTCTAGACCCAGGCATTTATTCACAGGCACCATCAAAATTTCGTGTTCACATTGGTGCCCGTGCCTGAACACCGTGCCAGGGCATTTAGTCTGAACACACGAAATGAAACAAATTTTGTATATTGAATGATTACTGATAAAACTGTTAAAAACAACTTTACTATAATGACAACAACAATCCGATTCTGCCACCTTTTTGCCATCCCCACTTTTCAAACATCACCGCGGCCCCTGTATCACTTCAACTGTATCAATTTCGATCTTATATATTTCACAGAATCACATTGTATGATATAAATATCGTATCCAACCACACTGAAGGTGTCTTATAGCTAAGTTGAAAATTATCTATCATTAAAAATAAAAAATTGAAAAATATTATCGTGTATTTAAAATATATATATAGCATAGTACCCATTAGATCATATAGTACTGTTTTGTAGATACAGTGTCGCGGTGTCGCCTAGTCCCAACAAGAGTGAACTCTTCAAAAAAGAATTTCTAACCAAGGCAACATTCGGTGTTTTTCACTATAAAAGGGCCCGTTCTGTTGTATACAACCAGAGGGCACAGGCATATATTATATATGCGTATGACGTTTGAAATAGTACTTGAAATTCCTTATCCATTCTTGCAGTAAATATATTTGTTTCCCGCTGCGATCTATAGAAATGCTTTATATTTATTATCAAAGGATATTAATCTACGACGCATTTAACATACTTTGATGTTTATAATTTGTTTATAACAAAAATGGCAACGAAATCGAAGTTTTGTCAAATTTTCAAACACTCGTCGTAGTAATTGTAAGTTTTCCAGACTTTGTTTTATTGTATTAATCACAAAACTAAAGAATGGTACGCGTTAAATGTTAGGTTGAATATATGCGAAATATTTCATGATGTATAATCTATTCATTTGCCAGGGTTAGTTCTGTTTATCTTATTTATCCTTCTGTATTTAACTCTATGTTTTTAACCTTATATTTTTTGTACACATTTCGCCACAGCGATAAAAAAGAAAAAACTTTGTCGAGCCGATGAACTGATCTAAAACATTTAATGTTTTCCCTTGTCGGATTACGATGTAAATCGTTGCCGGAAATGACACGCAGGCAATTTAAAAATAATAATTTTTGGGAAAGTTGGTCTTGGCATTATTTAACTCGATTGCATGATTTATCATTTGTATCTGAAATTCTTTTACATTATTTCTTCAAAATTTTGTTATTTGTGAATATTTATAAGAATTAGTTGGTTAACAGACAGTTTTTGAGCCACTGGCCATTAGGGCATTAACCGTGTGTTAAAACTCAGCTAAAATTGCTCGTATTTGTTGAGCGGTGAGAAAATAAGGACATAAGGAAGTATTGAAGATTGTTGATAAATAGTATGGAAGTATAAGAAAATACATGTAATAAATGTATGAATAGTTAAATAAAAACATAAATAAATTATAAAATTTTAACAATGAAAGTAGACAAGTCATATAGTCACTGATGTCGAAACTAACTATCGATTTGGCAAACACGATGTGCAGTCTACGACATCGTGAAAATGGAGCAAAAATATTTCATTTATGCAAATGACTTCACAAACAAATCTATAAATTTGTTTGCGACTAACCATTTAGCTAGCGACTTTTAGCTATGTATAATTTTAATTGCATGCTTATTTACAGCAAGGGTTATGACAAAGGATAGAGCATTCATACTTGCTTTTCAGTTATACCTGCACATGTTTTCTACTCATGAAAAAACCCACAGCTAGTGCGAAGTATAGCTACTTTAGTAGGATAAGAATAGGACAAAATTTCAAAATAGGAGCAAGATTTCAAAATTGGTCATTGTTAAGTCACATATTCATTTATCCATGTCTTTGAAACAGATAACATAAACTGTCGCAGAATACATTTACATAGTTAAGAACAAATTTGTTTATATCTATCATATTTTTAGCTCAAGAATCTCCATCAATTAATTTTCTTTATTGTTTTAAACTGAATACCCAAGAAAACAGTCAATAAGACGTTAGAAATTTTGTATTGCGTTAAACACGACAGCAAATGAGCGCCTAAAATCTACGTAGAAATAAATGAAACAAAAAATTTTCCAGTTCACTTGTAACAAATAACAGTCGAAGTTAATTCACAGATACTCTTTCAACGCTTCTAAAAGAACCACTACTTTTCCTTTGATTAATCCAAAGTTGGGATTGGAAAGTTCCACTGAAGGAAAGTTGGAAATAATAATCACGAGCTCAAACAAATATTTGCCGTATCACGAGAAGAGATGGGGATATGGCAGTCACAACCAGCAGCTGTGCACTTCTTGGAAGAGGGAAATTTTAATATGAAAAATGGCGATTACGAAAGGGCAATTACACACTACCAAGAATGTTTGAATGTTACAAACGAAATTATGACATTAGAATGTTTGAATGTTTCTAATTATGAAATTAGAATGTTTGAATGTTACAAACGAATTAGCGTCAAAATAATGGCGTTCTTTGGTCTTGGTAACGCTTATACTTTCTCTAATGAATGGCAGGAAGGATTAAACTGTTTTAATCATTATTTGAATCTTTCTTCTAAAGTGGAAAGTAAGTATTTTCAGCATGAAGTATATCTTGGCCTGGGGAATATTCATTCTACCACTGAAAGACTGAAGGACGACATAAAGAAAGATGAAATGGATTGTCTCTGCCATATTGCATTAGGAGGATTGAATAAGTTGCTTGGAAATTATGAGAAATCTCTGGAGCATTATGGTAAAGGATTTTCTCTTATTGAATCTCAACAGCAACAACATGAACAGCATCATCGACCACAACGACCAAGAAAAGTTGGTGGTATCAACGTTAGTAAAGATTTCGTCGACCATTACTTTAAGAACTTGTCAATTGTTACTTCAGCTGGAATTGTGAATGGAGTGTTGGCTGTTTTATGGGAACTAGCGGAGTTGTTTGATAAACTTAAACAATGGGGAGATGCAACATTTATATATGAAATATATCTGGAGATGGTCAAAAGATGAAGATATAGAAAAACAAAAGAACGTCATGAAGCGTCTGGTGCAAATATACGATGAAGAAGAGCGTTATTACTTAAGAAATTCGATGGAAGCCAAGTTACAAGAAATCATTAAGAAAAAGGACGAAAAAGGTAGAGAGTTATCACTGATGAGAAAGCTTTTTAGTAATGTGCTCATTGATTGTTTCCGTTTTACTTAACCTTAATTTTATTCTTTTATCATTATATGAATTGCTGTCATCAGAGTGGGAATACATTGGTGAATCTGTTAAACATAAAGAATTGTTCTTAAAATTGATTAAGTATGGACGAAATCCCAATGTCGAGGTCAAGCATGTAGACAATGTACGTGTAATTTTCTCAGAGGAGTTTTGCATCGGCAAAGGAAGTGATAGAATCCGTGTTTATCTGGGACTGAAAAAGGATGGTTACGGCAAAGCAGTAAAACGAATACGTCGAGATAACTGCATCACGATTGCCAAGAAAGAAAAGGAAATCTTGAACGAATTCAACGCAAAGGAGTCGAAATATGTTGTGAAATATTACTACTTGGATAAAGACACTGGAACAAACTATGTCTATTTGATACTAGACCTATGTGAAGAATCGTTGGAAAGTTTTGTGGAATCTTCTACATTGCAGGTTCTTCAAAAATCTCTTCCCGAAATTCTCAGACAAATGTTAAAAGGATTAGCTGATCTTCACTCAGACCCATGTCCTATTCTTCATCGGGATTTAAAGCCTTCCAATGTTCTCCGAGACACACATGGTAAATTTCTGATTGCTGACTTCGGTATAAGTCGAAAATTGAAGGTTGACCTTAAGACGTATTATACTAGCTCTAAAAGCGGAACTCGGGATTGGATTGCTCCTGAATCATATTGTAAAGATGAAGATTCAGTTGATAAAGCACGTTACAAAAAAGAGTCAGATGTAATGGTAAGTGTAGAAATGTATCCTTTAGTAAATGACACATAAATTAAATTCTTGACAATTTATTCACGCTATTCTATTTCAATAAATTTGTGTTTACCTTCATTGTACATTCATATAGTGGCGAAATACAAATTGTACTGTATAAAATATAAAAATATATATATGTATGATGATGAATTTATTGTTGTTATTGCCTTATTGTATGTCTCTCATTTAGATTGCTCTAAAAAATTTATGGCTACGATTCTTAATTGGAGAACATTATTCTGATTTTTTTCCGAACTGTACTTGTATTTTTTGCAACTAACAAATAAATTAACTCCATTTCTTATTGAAAATAGAATGCCGGAATGTTGGCTTATTATGTTGCAACAAAAGGGAAGCATCCTTTTGGTTCTGAAGACTGTAGACTACAAAACTTGTTACATGGAAATCATGTTGGCTTGGACGAAATAAAGGATGCTGCTTTCTTAGACCTTTTGTTATGGATGCTACAACTAAAACCAGAAGACAGGCCATCAGCCAACGAGGCGTTAAAACATCCTTATCTACAATCCGATAAGGAGAAGTTTGACATGCTGTGTGATGTTGGGAATCAACCGGAGATAAGACAACCACAATGTCAAAATTCAGATGTTCGTAAGCAGTTGGATTGTCATTCAAAATGGATGGAGCTTATCGACGATAAAGTATTAGAAGATTTCACAACCTTTCAAAATAGCAGCAAAAAAGTTAATTATGAGTCGTCATGGGCAAGTTGTTTAAGATTCATACGAAACGTTGACCAGCATTGGAAGGATAAGCCTCGTCCACATCTATCGCCATATGTTAAAGAAGGAAACTATAAAAAGTACTTTTTGCAACATTTTCCCGATCTTCCTCTTCGTGTGCATAAAATCATAAGGTCAACTGACTGGAAAACAAGAACTGATCTCGAGAAACATTTTACCTGTAAGCCATAAAAATATCTTGTCTTTTTCAAGACATTACTGAATTAGGTTTCCATGATGATATAAATATCCCCGATTTATTTTTGATGCTCTCTCAATCTTTTTCTGTAAATTAACAAATTTGGCTATTAAACAATTGTTTTCTTACTCTGCCAACTCTCTTTTTTGGTTGTATTTTTATTCAGTGTGTTTTTAACACTCTATAATGTTTTTCTCTCTCGACTCTCTACACTTTAAGCTGTACATAATAGTGACAATACCGTTGTGAACATTTTTTAGGTACTGAACATCATGTGAAAATTGAAGAAGTTAGTGGAAAGAAAAGCAAAGACGTCATGGACAATTTTGATCTTGATGGTAAATAAAGTTACAACAAACTAATGCTTACTAGAAGTTAATCACTCAAAATATAACTCTTGTCTACGACTTAGCATATATTATTTTAGGAATTGGTAAAATGATGTAAATTGATGAGAATCCACTTTGTAACAGTAAATAAAAGTCGATTATTCTAATCAGAATAGTTACGGTATTTCTCTAATACACGCCTAGCCTCAACTACGCGTTTCCATCTGGTGAACGCCCCCTTCAAATGCGGTTTTCATTAAAGTAATTCCATAAAAATAAGAACATATAAAATGTTCAATAACCGTATAAAAAAAAGCTTACAGTTGTTGCAATACTTTTTAATAGTATTATCATTCTTAAATGTTTCTTATTTACATTGCTTCAGCTTCTGAAGAAAAGAAATCTTTGCTATATCTACTAAATGATAATGACAGTGATGCTGATATTGGTATAACGTCTACATCAGGACCTAGTAAGTAATGAAATTTTATATGCAAATATTTACACACACTTAATCCTTATTGCCTTTTGAAATTGACTAGTCATAAAATTCTGCATGATAAATGTATAGCGTTTGTCAGTTCTTTCGAGTGACTTTCATTCGTTATGAAGGTTGAATTAATTTTTAAGATAGAGAAAACTATCAAAACGTGTCGTGGGGTAAGCGATGGGCAAAAGTTAAAACTTGCCAAAAAAAGTTAGATTTTTTGTTTATGTCTAAGCGACAAACAAATAATGATTTATCCTTCTTTCGAATAACATTTTTCTTAAGAAAATCAATGTAAGCTATATTGTTGAATTCAACTGAAACCTAGAACTCTTCACTTGCATCTGTTGCACTCTGTATTTTTTTTGTAGTCAAATTGATTTTATTAAGGTCTGGTACTAATGATAGAGGTCGAAATTAACGTTTATGCAAAGTAGCTAATAACTTTTTGTTTAGTTACAAAAACTAGTCTTAGTTTTTGTTTTTCCATTTTGCAAAACAATGCCCTCATGATATGAGTAAAAGATCTGGGTGAGAATTCCCGTGTAAGAGCTTTTTAGAGCCATTCTTATCACAGCTCATTGTTTAAATAAGTGGTCGTAATATGTTTATTTGTTGTTTTTGTAAGTTATTTTTAACAAATTGTATCTGCTATCTGAATCGTTGGTGCAATAGGAAAACTCGACCACTGCTATTTATTTCTTATTTGTCTATTCAGCTACAACATATTACTCTCTCTATAAATGGAACACTTTTACTTCTATTTTAGAATTGCAGCTGCATGAATGGAAATACCATGATAAATCGACAAAACATAAAGAATTGTTCTTAAAATTTATTCAGTATGGGAAAGACCCTAATGTCGACGTTAAACATGTGGACGATGTACGTGTAATTTTCTCAGAAGAGTTTTTACTTGGCAAAGGAAGTGATGGAACCCGTGTTTATCTTGGACTGGGAAAGGATGGTTACGGTAAAGCAGTGAAACGAATTCTTCGTGATAATACTTATTTGGCACAGTATGAAGAAAAATTTTTTAATGAAATCAATGCTAAGAAGTCGGATTATGTGGTAAATTGTTATTGCTCGAGACAAGATACAGAAACAGAATATGTCCATTTGATTCTCGATCTATGTGAAGAATCGTTGGAGGATTTTGTGCTATCTGAATCAAATAATTTAAATTATCTTCAAAAATCCCTTCCCGACATTTTCAAGCAAATATTGAACGGCTTAGTTGATCTTCACAGCGATCCACGTCCCATTCTTCATCGAGATTTGAAACCTTCCAATGTTCTCCGAGACACACAAGGCAAATTTTTGATATCCGATTTTGGTATTAGTCGAATTATGAAGAATGACTCTCAGACATATGTAAGCGATGCTAATAAGGGAACTCCGCATTGGATTGCCCCTGAATCTTATATTGTTGACAAAAAATTATTTGATAAAGCGCGTTACAAAACAAAGTCTGATGTCATGGTAGGTATTGGGTTGTTACTATTTGCAAATTGTACGTAAATTTAGTTTTTACATTTTACGTACTCTGTTATATTTAATTTATTTTAGAATGCAGGAATGGTGGCTTACTTTGTTGCAACAAAAGGAAAACATCCTTTTGGTACTAAAGTGTGCATACTTAAAAATTTGTTGAAAGGAAAACCTGTTGGCTTGAAGAAAATCAGTAATGTCGAACTAAATGATCTTCTTTCATGGATGCTACAACATAAACCCGAACTCAGGCCATCTGCAAAGGAGGCGTTAAAACACCCTTATCTACTATCTAATGAAGAAAAGTTTGACTTGCTGTGTAAAGTTGGAAATCAACCGGAGATAAAGATACAGCATTTAGATCATCTTCTCAGCTCAGATGTCCATAAACAGTTAAAAGGTCTCAAAAATTGGAGAAAACGTCTCATTCATGCATTCGATGATCATTTCAACAAGAAACTCTACGACTCTACATGGTTAGGATGCTTAAGATTCATACAAAACGTTGATCAGCATTGGCATGATGAGCATCGTACAAAACTGTTACCATATATTAAAGAAGGCAACTATAAAGAGTATTTTGTAGGGGTTTTACAAGAACTTCCTCTTCTGGTGCACAGAATCATGAGGTTAAATGAAGGGATCTTAAGACCTGACATGGAAAAACGTGTTCCTAGTAAGTTACAGCCATAGAAATAATTCTTCAATTTTAACGATATTGCTAAATTATATGCATTTTCCCTTGATAACGTCGGAACATAATAGGGTTTTTTACTTGCTTGCAAAAGCAATTTTTTCTCGTGAATCGTAAAAATAGTCTCTTTCCTTACAAATTCTTTGCATTGTTTGTCCGGAGCTTTTGTAGCGCTTCTGTTTCTCCGGTTCAAAAAATGCAATTTATTTTAAGAGGATTTTTGGTCATAACATTTCAACATTCAGTTACTAAATTTCATATTGTATATTAATGTGAAAAAGACGTGTGTTTTATCCATTGCAGAATTGCTTAATCTATTATAGCAGATCTAATGCTTGCCAAAACGAGTTATAGATGCTCAATTTTAAATTCAAAATATATTCAAACCAAAACTATTGAATTTGAATTTCAAAAAAATTAAACTTTCTGAATGCACTTGCCTCTATGTATTTGGAAATGGAAGTATATCCAAGCATGAGCTGCAGCAATTTATTTTGACGTACCCTAGATTCGCCACTGGCTTTATTGAGTTAGAAGTTGGTATGGTCATGCAATGAACTAATCGTGGAACGTTGATTATTGCGCGTGAATTGTATGATGACCAACTCATTTCTACCGGAGTAAATGTTATTTCCATATCAAAATAAAAACATCTGTGTTTTATCATCCAGAGAAAAACACAGCAATGTTATATGTTATGAGATATTGCCAAAACAAATAAAACTGTGAATTGATGAATTTATCAGTCCTTTTGTTGTCAAATTGATTTTATTATAGTCTGATACTAATGATAGTGGTCGAAATTAACGTTCATGCAAAGTAGCTAATAACTTTTCGTTTAGTTACAAAAACTAGTCTTATTTTTTGTTTTTCCATTTTGTAAAACAATGCCCTCATGATATGAGTAAAAGATCTGGGTGAGAATTCCCGTGCAAGAGCTTTTTAGAGCCATTCTTATCAGAACTCATTGCTTAAATAAGTGGTCATAATATGTTTATTTGTTGTTTTTGTAAGTTATTTTTAACAAATTGTATCTGCTATCTGAATCGTTGGTGCAATAGGGAAACTCGACCACTGCTATTTATTTATTATTTGTCTATTCAGCTACAATATATTACTCTCTCTATAAATGGAACACTTTTACTTCTATTTTAGAATTGCAGCTGCATGAATGGAAATACAATGATAAATCGACAAAACATAAAGAATTGCTCTTAAAATTAATCGAGTATGGGAAAGACCCTAATGTCAAGGTTAAACATGTGGACGATGTACGTGTAATTTTCTCAGAAGAGTTTTTACTTGGCAAAGGAAGTGATGGAACCCGTGTTTATCTTGGATTGGGAAAGGATGGTTACGGTAAAGCAGTGAAACGAATTCTTCGTGATAATACTTATTTGGCACAGCATGAAAAAAAAATTTTTAATGAAATCAATGCTAAGAAGTCGGATTATGTGGTAAATTGTTATTGCTCGAAACAAGATACAGAAACAGAATATGTCCATTTGATTCTCGATCTATGTGAAGAATCGTTGGAGGATTTTGTGCTATCTGAATCAAATAATTTAAATTATCTTCAAAAATCCCTTCCCGGCATTTTCAAGCAAATATTGAACGGCTTAGTTGATCTTCACAGCGATCCACGTCCCATTCTTCATCGAGATTTGAAACCTTCCAATGTTCTCCGAGGCACACAAGGCAAATTTTTGATAGCCGATTTTGGTATTAGTCGAATTTTGAAGAATGGCTCTCAGACACATGTAAGCAATGCTAATACGGGAACTCCGCATTGGATTGCCCCTGAATCTTATATTGTTGACAAAAAATTATTTGATAAAGCGCGTTACAAAACAAAGTCTGATGTCATGGTAGGTATTGGGTTGTTACTATTTGCAAATTGTACGTAAATTTAGTTTTTACATTTTACGTACTCTGTTATATTTAATTTATTTTAGAATGCAGGAATGGTGGCTTACTTTGTTGCAACAAAAGGAAAACATCCTTTTGGTACTAAAGTGTGCATACTTCAAAATTTGTTGGATGGAAAACCTGTTGGCTTGAAGAAAATCAGTAATGTCGAACTAAATGATCTTCTTTCATGGATGCTACAACATAAACCCGAACTCAGGCCATCTGCAAAGGAGGCGTTAAAACACCCTTATCTACTATCTAATGAAGAAAAGTTTGACCTGCTGTGTAAAGTTGGAAATCAACCGGAGATAAAGATACAGCATTTAGATCATCTTCTCAGCTCAGATGTCCATAAACAGTTAAAAGGTCTCAAAAATTGGAGAAAACGTCTCATTCATGCATTCGATGATCATTTCAACAAGAAACTCTACGACTCTACATGGTTAGGATGCTTAAGATTCATACAAAACGTTGATCAGCATTGGCATGATGAGCATCGTACAAAACTGTTACCATATATTAAAGAAGGCAACTATAAAGAGTATTTTGTAGGGGTTTTACAAGAACTTCCTCTTCTGGTGCACAGAATCATGAGGTTAAATGAAGGGATCTTAAGACCTGACATGGAAAAACGTGTTCCTAGTAAGTTACAGCCATAGAAATAATTCTTCAGTTTTAACGATATTGCTAAATTATATGCATTTTCCCTTGATAACGTCGGAACATAATAGGGTTTTTTACTTGCTTGCAAAAGCAATTTTTTCTCGTGAATCGTAACCTTACAAATTCTTTGCATTGTTTGTCTTTCCTTATAAATTCTTTGCATTGTTTGTCCGGAGCTTTTGTAGCGCTTTCTGTTTATAATTTAAATGATTTTTAATATTATATCTTATACCAGTCGGCTGTTCTTTTTTACTTTTAATTTCACTTGTCCACGTAGCTGTTATAGGTTTAAAATTACTCATAAAATAATCATTCTCTGTTACATACAATCTAAAGTTACAGATATCAACATTTACCGGCTTTTGAAATGTAGGTGTCACAATAAACTTTGCATTCCACCTATGAATCGTTTTATCAAAAAAGTCTTGGTAATGACCTTCATCTCCATTTTGAGCTGCTATGAGATTTGAAAACAAAGGCGTTTTAGTTGTTTCTAAATATATTTTTGGCCATGTTGTATATGATACATGTTTTAAATCATCATCACCTAATATTATAGCATTTTCTTCTATTTGCTTGTCCGACATATAATATAAGCTATGTTATATATGAAGTTCACTGTTTTTATAAACGGAGATAGTACAAAAATTAACTTACAAGAAAGTATACTAACATCTAACTATTCATATTTATATATCAAAAAAGCTTATGCTTATTGGGAATATAAAAATGTGAAATTAAATAGTACTTTAGCTTTTACAATAGGCGCTACAAAATATAATATAGATGCTGGTTACTGGACTTTTAAAATGCTTAAAACGTTTCTTGAGTCTGTTAACGTAAAGATTGAGATGGTAGAAAATAACGGAACTTGTAAAATTACTAATAATAATGACGAGGTATTAGTATTGTCTGATACTCTTATTAAAATGTTAGGTTTTAATGATACCATAAAAACTATGAAAAAAGGTATCGTACAAAATGGTGTTTCTAAAGTGGATATAAACAGAGGATTAAAGTGTTTGCAAATTTCTTCTAATATTGTAAATTCAAGTTATAATTATAACCCTGAAGGAAAAAAAGTAATATAGCTTTAACTTTACCAGTAATAACAATTCAGTCGTTATTTGGCACTGTATATGAATACAACGATATTGAATCTAAAGTTACAATTATAAAAGGAGCCTTTAACGATCTGATATTTAACATATTTGATCAAAATTACAACCCTGTTAATGTAGGTAGTATTCTACTGGAATGTTATCTTGAGTAAGTTAAATGGATGAAGACATTAAAATTGAGCAAAGTTTAAGAGATATTTATTATGATCCACAAACAGGGTATCAATCAGCAGAACGGCTATATCAGAAAGCATTAGAAGAAGGTATAGATGTTAGTAGAAAGCAGGCTAAAGAATGGTTAATATCTCAAGACACATATACTAGATATAAACCTATTATTAGGAGACATAAATTTAGACAAACAAGGATAAACTATCTTGGTGAACAAATACAAATGGATTTAGTTGATATGGGCTCTTATAAGTATAAAAACAATGGTTATTATTGGATATTAACAGCTATTGAAATATTAAGTAGATATGCATTTACTATCCCTGTTTATAGGAAAGACACAAATAATATGATAAAAGCTGTTGCAAAACTATTAAGTCAATTTAAAGATAGATTTAATGATTACCCGAAACTAGCTCAATTTGATGATGGTAAAGAATTTTATAATGTAGGTGTCAAATCATTATTAGAGAAACATGGAATTAAGTACTTCTCTACTAAAAATGATAAAAAGGCTGCGATTGTCGAACGATTCAACAGAACAATTAAAACATCAATGTGGAAATATTTTTACAGTAAAGGAACATATAAATGGATTGATATATTAGATGATTTAGTATATAATTATAACAATACAAAACACAGTACAATCTTGATGAAGCCTAAAGATGTTAATAAAAATAATGAAAATGAAGTATGGAATACATTATACAATCATGAAGTTGCTTATTTACTATTACCTAAGATTAAAATTGGTGATATGGTTAGAATATCAAAGTATAAATCTATATTTACGAAAGGTTATGAAGCAAATTTTACAGAAGAGTTGTTTAAAGTGACTAAAGTTATTAGAGGAGATCCGAATTTATATGAGATAGAAGATGTAGAAGGAGAGCCTATAATTGGTAAATTTTATGAAAATGAACTATCAGTTGTTAATAAGAAAGATGATGTTTATAGAGTTGAAAAGATATTAAAACGTAAGAAGGTTAAAGGTAAAAAGATGGTTTTAGTTAAATGGTTAGGTTATGATAATAAACATAACAGTTGGATTCCTGAAAGTGAAATACAAAATATAGAGTAATCTATATAATGGCTGAAGGAGGTTTTGATTATATTGAATTAGAAGATAATAAGCAAGAAGATAATAACAATGATAATGAAGATCAAGAAGATAATAACGATGATAATGAAGATTGGCAAAATTTTCAATTTATTGATGAAACGTCATTTACTAATGATAATTACGGTGTAACAATAAGAAGACCTACAAATAAAAATAATACGCTTCCTGATGTTCCTACTAATTCCACTCCTGTTTATACAGATATTATTAGACCTGAAAATGAAGTTTCTTTTTCTGTTGAATCTTTTATTAAAAAAAAATATAAAAAAGAGTTTAGATTTAATCACTTAAAAGGTATTGCAGCTTCTGAAGGTATAAATTTTAGATTAAATTTAGGTAAAACTAAGTCGAATCATATTACTTATAGACCATTAAATACAAAAAATAATCGAGGTAATAGTATAATTGTTTTAAAACGTAATAGTAATGGAATACTACAATATAATAAAAATACAAATGCTAAAGAAGCTGTTAAACAATTTAAAAACGAAATTAAAAGAATTATTAATTTGCAAGATGAATTTATAAAAACTGAAGAGAGTATGCCTATGGTTAATTTAAATAATGAATATACAGAGAATTTCGATCAAATAACTAATGAAGAACTTAGAGAACATAAAGGCGTGATGACACCATCTGGAACTATTGATAAAAGAACACGACCACAATTCATAGAAGCACAAATAAATCACTTTGCTGAAGAGTTAAACAAAACTATAGCTAGAATAGATGAAATAGAAAATGAAAATAGTATTGACAACAATATTGATGAATTAACTAATTTACATGAAAGAGCCGCTGAATTAGAAATTATAATTAGAGAAGAAGAAGAGCAATTAGAGAAAGAGGATGTACGAGATAAACAAGAAGAAGACATTACTAGATTACAGCGATTTAAAGAATGGGTTAAGGAAAATATCCCAGGATTATCAGCTTTAGTTATATCTGTGGCTGGGATAATTACAACCATTGTCATAGGGGCTAGAAAAGCAATCCTGCAAGGGGCTCAAGCTACTCGTAAATTTTCTAAGGCTTTAGCAAATATAGGTAAAAAATTATGGCCAGTGTTAGGACCTTTATTGAATATTATCGCTCAGGCTATATCTTGGGGAGCTAAAGGTCTAGCATGGGTATCTTCTAATCTATGGGTTTTAGCTATTGCTGCTTTGTTACTATATGACCAGTATAAACAAAGAAAAAAATAAAATATGTTTTAATATATATATGAACAGATTACAAGAAGAGCTTTTACCTGGTTATAAAAGAAGTACTATGACAAAAATTAAAGGAAATAGAACTTTTTATAGTATAACCTTTAACCCAAATAGTGTTAAACCGAATGAACAAGTTTATGTTAATATACCAAAATTAAAACCAAATAGTTGCTTAGTGCCTGGTTCAGTTAATCTATCGTTTGATCTTAAAATCAGTAATACAAAAAGTCACTTTCTAAATAATCTCAGTCAGATTTTACAACATAGAATACAAATTAAAATCGCTGGTGAGACACTATACGATTGTAATAATCATAATGTTATAAGTATATACAGAGACTTGTGGTTGCCCAAAAGTGATCGACAATGTCTTATTGAATATGGCATATGTAGCCAAAATCTAAGAAAACTTATTTCTAAGGATGATAGTGCTGCAACAAGTGGAGATTCAAAAAAAGTAGAAGATAAATTAATGTATGATATTTATGGTACAAGGCAGAAAATTAATATTGATAATATTCTTAAAGATCATGGTCTCTATGCACCATTTCGAATGCATAATTCCTTTCAATACATAATTACATTACCCCCTAATGATCAAGTCCTTATCGCTCAAAGCAACCAAACTATCGGTGATTATGAATTAGAAAATATTCAGCTGGAATATGAAACTATTGAAAATCAAGAAATTGCAGATGAGGTTACAAATATATATTCTATAGGAAGAAGTCTATTTTATGAACATATAACGCTCTTAAAAAAGGAAAAATGGGATAAGTCAAGTACATTACAGAATATTAACGTCAATATTCCTCGTAAAAGTATTAAAGGCGTTTTACTACTATTCACAGAAAATTCAGTTAGTGATAGTGAAATATTCATATATCCCAACATTGATGAAGTTAAAATAACTATCGAAGGTGTCCCAAATTGTATTTTCGCCCAAGGTATGGGTAAAAGAGTATTTTTTGAAGAAGCTAGAAGATTTTTTGATAAAACTACCCCAATAGATTGCTTCATGACAATTGAAAAATTTTATAAGGATAAATTTTCATTAGTTATCGATCTTCGCACATTTCAAGAAAAAAATATTGCTGGTAATGGTAAAAAAATCATTAATACTCAAAACGGCATTCTGCTCGAAATTAAAAAAAGAGCATATACAAAAGATTTAAAATGTTACATCTATATTGTTAGTGATGCTCTTGTTCAATTTGTTAATAATGATTTACAAAGTATTCAATACTAAAATAACCAGTAATATATATATGAATACACCTTTTAATATGATTATTGTAGGTATGACAAATTGTGGTAAAAGTCATTACCTTCTCACAATGTTAGAAA